TACTTCAGAATGATCGTCAACGAGAACGAGAGCGACAACAACTATTATCACCATCATCGCGAGAATCAACATCGGGAGATTCAAATGATTCACTTACATGTTTATCCACATCAAAACTACCTACACCTATTCAACTTAATCATGGATAAAATTTATAAATAGAATATACTTGTAAATATTTTGACTTTTCTAATCTAATTGCATGTGTCATAAGTGTCAGATGACTTTTTTTGTATATTTGTGTGCGCGCGTGCTTGTTGCTTTTTTATCGAGAAGAATAAAGTATCTTTTTAACATAGACGGATATGCATAATTTCCCACATTAATGAAACATCTATTAGCATTTTTCCATTTAATCGTACTCTACTATATTACAATTTCCTAATATTCTCTTGAATCGTACTGAAAATATTTTTTATTAATTGAATTTTGTTACGGTTTTCCACGTAAAAATAATTGTTTAAAAACAGTTCGTTGAACATAGTTTTAGGTCTGTGACAGTTGAGCGTTCGTTGAACTGCTGTTCCTCGATAATAGGAACTACTTTTCGATTCAAGTTTATTGAACACAAATTGTTTTTGAGCTTCCGTCTCTGAACTACGAGTGGTCCAATAGTTCACGTTCACCCGAACGAAGAATGGCTCACCAGTTCTAGAGCCTTCGAGCGGGCACAAAGTTTTGAACTAGGGACTGTTGGTTAGAGATGTGCAGAGTATGAGTCTTTTGTATCCTATAAAGATGTCTCGTACCCTACCCTATCCTACCCTATTGACTTCAGACAGTTTGCATCCTTCACTCTACTCTCCACATAAGAAAGTAGGAGTAAAACAGGATCATTCATTCAACGATCAAAGTTCGTTACAGTTTTATTCAAAAAGAATAAACACACATTTTATTGCTACCGAAAATTTCGCAATAACAATACGTCGTCAAATACGTCGGGATTCAAGAATTGTCGTCTTTGTTGTAATATTCGGCCAGTAGCGCTGAACATTCCTTCTGATGTGGTCGAACTTGCACGAACTTCCAACGATGATGAAGACAACAAACTAAGATTTAGATGGATGACAGCATGATTTATGAAGTCATGCATCCCTAAAGGAGCGAATGTTTCTCAATATTAAGCGTTCTTTATCTTAAAGTGTACAGTCTGTGACAAACCTCTCAACCTGTACTCTATCCTATAAAAACGTTTCGTACCCTTAACCTACCCTAATAGGATAGGGGTCATCGTGGACACCTCTACTGTTGGTGCTTTCTTTCTTAGCGATCTGTCAATTTATTATATATTCATATAGCGAACGTTTTGAAAAGCAGACAAACTAACCGAACACTAAGAAAGAGAGCATCAACTGGTACTCGTTCAAATACTGTTGTTCCGGTTCCGAGACACAAGAGCTGATGAGCCATTCTTCGTTCCAATGAATGTGAGCTGTTGGACCCGTCCTAGTTCAGAAAAGGAACTGCTGTTCAGTTTCTATTCACTAAACGAGAACTGAGAGATGATTTTCGTGCAAAAAACAGAAACCGTAAACTGTCACAGCATAAACATCCGCATAGTTTTACGTTCATAGGAACGAAGAATGGCTCACCAGTTCTAGGGCCTTCAAACCGGAACAAAGTTTTGAACTTTGTTGATGCTTTGATTCTTAGTATTCGATCGATTTATTATGTATTCATACAGCGTGGACGTATCGAGGGTGCTTCTCCGTGATCGTGTGGAACAGAACATTTTTTCTCTTTGATGTACCGGAGACGTTTTCTTCTCCTTCTTCTCTTTGGTTTTTACCAATTGTCCTACACTATTTCGTAAGAAAATGTGGTTCTTTCTATTTATTACCTAATCGAAGTAATAGCGTCTGTTGCTTTTTTCTGAAAAGGTTTTGTGTAGTTTAATAAAACTGACTTTGTATGGTTGCTCGTCGCTTCCACTTAATTATGCTTGAACTGAACTGTACAGTAATTTCAAATTTGAATTTGCTAAGGAAACTTTTAAATTTTTTTGAAAAGTCCGTAGACGCCGAAGAGAGCTTTTAAACTTTAAACTTTTTAAAGCTGAACAGGTCGAATTGGCTCGGGATTCAGATCGCTAGTTCAGAGAGCTATATATTCCTGGTAGACAGTCATTTTCATAAATATTTAGACTTACCAACGGCCTGATATTAGAAAAGTCGCTTTTGAGACAGATAGATGATCAAATGAGTGAGAGTCTTCTATCTACTACACTAGTTTCATGTGTTCGGAAGTGATCTTTCTAGAAGCCTTAATGAGCCTATTGAATGCTCATGATCGAAAATTTGAAGACATTTGCGTCACAGTGCGCAAGGAAAGCATTTATTTAAGCTAGAAATTATGTCAGTTTTCTGCTTTTAGTCTTGTCGCATTTGCTGAAAATTTGCTGAACAATTCAAGTAAAGCCGTGAGATAGAAGAGGGGTATGATTTTAAATGTCTTCCAAGAGCCAAAGCGTATGAGTTTTCTTTAATCTGGAACAACGCGTCTTAAGTAAGAGTGTGAATGTATCGATAATATCTACACGCGTTGAGAAGTATATTAACACTATTTCTGTCTTACTGTAACAATTAGCTTTATACTATAGGCAAAATGAATAAAGAATAGGCATTTATTGCTGTACGGTTCATAATTAAAAACCACACGTGATTCGTTTAGAGACGAAGGGCTGCTGTCATATATTCTTCTATGACAGCAGTATTCTATCCCTAGAGAATAAGAAAATGAACAAAACATGTTTCTTAATGACTAACAGTCAAACAGACATTTTCCTTTTGTCTAAATTCTCATTTGGTCTGTATAATCATCGCATAAATCGTCAATTTTAATTCTCATTTTTTTTTCTTAGAAGATTATTTTGTTGCATGTTGTTTGTAATAATATCCCTAGTGATTTATGATAATGATTCTCTAGAACAAAAACAAAGACATAAATGATGGCACTACCGAAATCTTTTTTATGATTATCTCGATATACGCATAGGAGAGAAATCATTTTTTTAAAAACTCAACAAAATTTTGATTTATTTCAGCACACACACACACACACACACGCGCGCGCGCGCGCACACACACACACACAAGTATTACATTATCTTTTTCTTCAACAAAGCGTAATTCCGATTCGAAGAAAAAAAATTAGCGTTTGAACCTACGTCTATGTGATATGTACAAATGGCAACAGCGTAAAAAAATATGAACCGGTATAAGGAAAACATGATAATAACATATTTTAAAAGAGAAGGAGTGTCTCTCTGATATCAAGTACAGGAAGAGAATAGTATTTTCGCAAACGCTTTACGAAATTCCAGATTGAAAATTGTATAAATAATTGGATTAAGGGTACTATTGATCCAGCCAAGCCAAGCACAAAATGTAATTATAAGATCACTAATCATACAGGAATTGCTTCTCGATATTCGACAGATTGCATTAACTAGATTGTTCAATACAAAAAACGGCATCCAACAGACTAAGAAACATACTAAAAAAAGAAAGAAGATATATATTATATATTAATAGAATTTCATAATGTGCGGACAAAAGGATCCGACAAAAATGAGAATTGACAATTAAAAGATCTTATGTTGACTGTAAGTAAGAGTATTGACTATGGTAACTTACAAGTCATTTTTTCACGATTAAATATGAATCATTCTGAGAAAAAATTCATTATGAAATATATGATTATTATCCTGTCTTCTCTAACCACCAGTTAGCACAAGATCATCTAACCTATAATGCTCCTTCCACTGAGAGATTGACAGCTTTTTGCTTTAATATTCAAATAGCAATAAGGATGATCAATTCAAAAAAACTATATTTAAAACGCTTACTTAGGACAATGATTAATGTTTTTGTTGCTTTTCGTTCTTTTTTCTGATGTGAATGTGCTTTGCGTTTTGCTGCTTTAGCAATATCTTTATTATTTTTTACTAGGCTACTGGCATTGTTTACTGGTATTGTTGGTGAGATTGCTGTTGTTATTATTTCATCTTTATTTTTCAAACGCGTTTTTAATCGGCGATTATTGTGATTTTGTTCCGTTTGTGATGCTGTATGTTTTTGTTGTTGAAGAATAGTGTCGGACGGTTTAGTAATGATATCATTGTCAAATGATCCATTATGATGTAAGAATAAGGCAATATCATCTCGTTCATCATCACCAATATCACCTGATGAGCTTGTAATGTTCACTGAACCTCTTGC